TAAAGCCGCCCCTGGGTTGGGTATCGCTGACTGAGCCCATAGCTGTATACTCTAAGAGCCGCTGAAGTTCACAAAGCAAAGTGCCGAGCCGGCAGCGGCGGTCAGATGCCTACATATATGCCTACTCGCCGAAGACGGGCCGACAGAAACCTGGCATTCCTGGTGAGACAGGCAACAGGCGATCGCGGAGTTCTGCGAGCCGGCGAATGACGACTGTGTAACGTTGAAGATCGGCCAGGTTTGGGGTACAAAAATGCGGGGAATTGGAGATGTTGCATCGGAACTTGTCCGAGGCGATCCAGAGCAGCGCAGAGCTGGTGGTGACGGTGGATTTCATACCGCTGATGCGGGACTGCGAAGTCTTGATTCATCGGAAAGTGGCCGCCGCAACTTGTTTGATTTAGCCGAGCGGTCTAAGTCTGAACCCGTGATTTCAAGAGCCCGCGTTCATTTCGCGGTGCGACTTCTCTTTTTCCCAACCACATACATACCATTAACAGCTCATATCATCATCGTCTCCTATTCGGATAGCACCGGTTACTCATTCGCTGCGTACTAGACAGCAAGGCAGCACTCATAGAGGAGATTGGACGATTTCCGCACACTTTACCTGACAAGGCGGGGGAGCCACTCAAAATATATAGACCTGCACCGTCGTGATATATCTACAGTTATAACAACGCTTGAATCTGTCACACCCATAAAGTCAAAGTCATCTGTCAATCAATTGTTATCACAGCTCTTCACCCCTTCTCTGGGTCTCTCTGATTCCCGGGGAAATATCTGGGGTAGACTTGTGGCTTGACGCCAGTCCGAACAGAGCACGGACACCACATGCTACGCTTGGCATCATGTCTCCTCATGTTTGCTCCTTGGCTCTTCATCCAGTCTGCACAATTACCCCCGCACTCTGCAAGCGAAGCCTAGTAGCTCCGAAGCACTGCGGAGCAAGGCGGAGAATTGAGTCCATGGACCATTGACCGCTGCCGGAGGAGGCGGGGATACATTCTTCAGCCCCTCATTTCCCACGGGGTCAGTCGGGCTGCAGAATTTAGATTGCACTACATGAGCTGGTAATATGTGTATAGATTGCACCACAGTGCTGACAGCCTCCTGATGGTCGGGGTATTTCGATTTGGCGCGGAGGTCCAGGATGGAAACGGAGGAATTGCCCTATAAATACCAAAGGATGGGCAGGTAAATGAGGGAGCAACTGGAAAGCAAGCTCTCTGAACCAAGTGTACACGATGAAAGGACGTGCCTTGTCTCTTTTCTCTCTTGTTGGTGCTGCTGCTGCGCAGAGTGGCGCGTACGGCCAATGCGGAGGGAACAACTGGTCGGGCGACACCACCTGTGTCTCGGGATACGTCTGTCTTTATTACAATGACTGGTATAGCCAGTGCGTTCCGGGTATGTGCGTATCATGTGTGCTACATATAATATACTGATTGACAGCAACAGGCACCGCTAGCTCGTCCACGACCTTGACGACTACAACCAGGACGACGACCACCACGACCACCACGACAAGTACTACTACAACGTCCGTCCCCACCTCAACCGACTTCCCCTCGGCCAACGGACTCAACTTCACCATCGATGGTGTAACCGACTACTTCGCCGGCTCCAACTCGTACTGGATCAGCATGCTGACCAACGATGCCGACGTGGATCTTGTCCTCGACCACATCGCCGAGTCGGGCCACAAGATCCTGCGCATCTGGGGCTTCAGCGATATAAACACTGACCCCTGGAGCGGTCAGGTATGGTTCCAGCGGCACGAGAATGGCGCAACGATCATCAATACCGGGGCGGATGGATTGCAGCGCCTTGACGCGGTGGTCAATTCCGCCGAGCAGCGCGGCATCAAGCTGATTATCAACTTTGTCAACAACTGGGATGATTACGGTGGCATGACTGCTTACCTGAATGCCTATGGTGGAACCACGAAGACTGATTGGTACACCAACGATGAGATTCAGACTGTCTACCGTGCCTACATTGAGGCGGTTGTTAGCCGCTTCATCGACTCCCCGGCGGTCTTTGCCTGGGAATTGGCCAATGAGCCCCGCTGCAATGGCTGTGATACCTCGATTCTGTATAACTGGATTGCGGACACGAGCGCTTACATCAAATCTCTCGACCCGTTGCACATGGTCTGCATCGGTGACGGTGAGTAACAAATAATGTGTTTGAACCTCTTTATGACACAAACCGAGGCTAATCAACATTTCAGAGGGATTTGGCCTAGAGGAAGGCTCCGATGGAAGCTACCCCTTCGCCTTCGGTGAAGGCCTGGACTTCGCCGCGAACCTCGCCATCGACACGATTGACTTTGGTACCTTCCATCTCTACCCAGGCAGCTGTACGTCTCCCCACATCCCCCCGTCAACACCATTTCCGAAACCAGAAACTAACATCAGCGCTAGGGGGCGTATCATACGACTGGGGCAACCTCTGGGCAACAACGCACGGCGCAGCCTGCGCAGCGGCCGGAAAGCCGTGTCTCTTTGAGGAATACGGCGCGCCATCTGACCACTGTGCCATTGAGGTCCCCTGGCAGACGACTGCCGTGGGTACCACTGGTATTGCGGGTGATCTGTTCTGGCAGTGGGGTGATACCCTGAGCACGGGGCAGACTCACAATGATGGGAATACGATCTATTATGGGTCCGATGAGTATACTTGTATGGTGACGGAGCATACGGAGAGGATTGCTGCGAGGTAGGGGGCGTTGAGTAGCTGATGTCTGGAGAGGTATGTGATGGGCTAGCGAAGTAGTATTTTCGTTCGTTATCTGTTAGCCACCCACGCTGGAGAAATATGGAATGACAACATGGAACACGGATGTATGTTTTTAATCAGGTGTGGTGCATTCTGGAAGAACCCATATCAATTCACCGGCCGTGTGAATGACACCCTCGCAGGCCACTGGCTGATTTAATCAAAATAACATCTCTAATGATGCCGAACACGCTTCCTCCGCATCTCCGCTACATGCTTGAAACCCAGGATCTCATACTCCTCCGTCCCGTAGTAGATTGAATTGACATCACCCCACGTGGTTCCCGACTCAGGCAAGACGCTCCCAAATTGCCAGATGAAGTCCGCCGCCACGGAAGTTTCCTTCAGGACGGTCAATTGCCATGGTCGTTCGATCTCGGTATGGTTGATGGGGGCGCCGTATTCTTCGAACTTGACGGGCTTGCCGGTCCTTGCGCCGATGGCGTCGTGCTGCCGGATCCATTCGTTGCCCCAGGTGTAGTTGTAGCCCCATGATTCGGGGTACATGTGGAAGGTGCTAAACAACCATTAGTTACTGTTGCTGAGATGCAATACTGCAGTCGGGGATAGATCGGAGTCTTACCCGTAATCAAGCGTCTTGATCCCCAGATTCCTTACAAAGTCAACACCTTCAGAGCAGTCGTAGGCATAAGACCCATCACCCTCCGGAGGGCAAAGCCACCCCTCATCACCAAGCGTAACCATATGCTTGCGATCGATCTTCTTAATCATCCGACTAATTTCCGTAGCCCAGTTATAGATAATCGAGGGATCGCAGCCCTTGCAGCGCGGCTCATTCCCAAGCTCCCATGAGAAAATCGCAGAAGAAGACTTATACCGGTTGACGATGAACTTGACGTAGTTGCGATACGCACGCTGAGCATCGGGATTTGTGTAGAACGTCGTCGCATTGCTGCCGAATGCGTTGCTGTAGATGTTGATTCCGCCAAAGTCGTTCCAGTTGTTCATGAGGACCATCACGAGCTTGATGCCGTATTTCTCGGCGAGAGAGACGACGACGTCGAGGCGGTGGATTCCTACACATTGTCTTCGATTAGTGGATTGTTCGTATGCTTTGAATGACGCGACAAGTACCGTTCGGTCCATAGTTGATTCCCCATCCTCCCTTGTACAAGGTCTCGTTCAGCACCTGGTAGAAGGTCGGTTGACCTGGGTTCGTAGGGTCGTTGACGCCGAAGAATCCCCATGTACGAACAACCTTGTAGCCGGTCTAGACAGAATTGATCATCGATAAGCCTTCAATCAGCTGTATAGATAAGATAGAGGGAAAGCGTACATCCGCCATCTGCGAGATAGCCAGTTCAACCTCGGCGTCATCCACGAGGTTTCCAAGCCACCAGCAATTCGTGCCAGCAAAATATTGAACCTTGCCATCGATTTCAAAGAGGCGCCCTACGGTCCGAGGAATGTGCCCGCCGCGCCGACCAATTGGTACTGCTGGAGCTGTGTAAGCCGGAGGTGCTACGGGCTCAGCTGTAAGAAGGCCTGGGAGCAGCGCTCCGGCGAAAGATAAGAGAAGACTTTTCGTGAATCTCATGATTTCGGACAAGCGAGAAGCTTTTGTCAGTCAATTGGCTGTAGAACCCGGCAATTCCTTGGGTACGAGCAGAGCACTTGCTGCAGTATATATATCTCCGCATTCTCCATGAGCTGACCCCAAATCCCCAAATGAAGCCAAGACGACGCGGGACAATAGCTTCGTTTAATATAAATTTGGCATACTTTGGCAGGCGGAGATCCGTGACGAGGTGCCCAAAGCTCCAAGCGAGCTCCAGAGTATCCGATGGATCTGGGGCAGGGTCAGCGCTAGCTTTTCCTGGAGCGGCCACTACCGCAATTGGAACGGAATGAGGACAGTGAGCGGAACACAGGTCAGATTGTTCCGATCTCCATCTTGCCATCTTGCAGGCTGCACTGTATTGTCCTGCAAAATTCCCGTGAGTCGGTCATTATTGGTGCTTTAAAAGCCGGGGAAGCTTCGAGGAGCGCAGGAATGCGGCATGCCCCAAACCTCCCAGGCTAGCGAGGGGTACATATGGGAACGTGCCGAGTAGGCTATCTAAAAGATTGGTATGCATATGTACTCCGTAGGAGCCAGAGCTGATCAATCGGTCCTGTCACTTGCCCGTCTGTGCTTGACCAAGATGTATGTATGTCTCCGTATGTATGTTTGTATGTCGCTTGGGCAAAAAATCTAGTCACGCCCGGGATCGAACCGGGAACCGTTCCGGCATCTACGAATGGTAGAAGTAATCAGGTAACTGATCACGTGTTAACGGAAAATCATGACCATTAGACCACGCGACTTGATTGGTGGACAATTTGCCAAATTGTGTTTGATTGCTAGACAGGCAGGGCGCGTGTGGGGGCGGTTGTTTCGGGCGTGGAGATCACGAGACACGATGGGGAATCCGCCCCTTGTAGAGATTAAAGCACACTGGTTTATATACCACAGAACCAATGTCGATGAATTGGTCAAGCCTATGCTGAAATATTTTACCTCATCAGCATCATGGCACCCACGTCAAATGTTCACGCCCCGCGCCTGCAAGCCAGAGTATGTCAGTCCGCGTTGGCTAATGTTGCCATCTAGACCGGCCATCTGGATGAACCAAGGTGCGTGGCTTTGTCTTGTCTTATTCATGGTAGCTTGTTGACCAGACCTTCAGCGGCCAATTCTCTGGATGATGCTTCGGCCACCGCAGCTGGTGTCCATGGGTGCCCTTGAATGACCTCGAAGCTACGCACTACAAAAGCTCCATTGATCACGATACGCACCAAATCAGAACCTCACAATTCTGGTAGCTTGTCATTCCAGCCGATGCTCTTTCAAACATACACCCATTACTCACAGCCAGCTTCGCGCCACGTCAGCTTCCTGCGCGCTATGGTTGCTCACCCTGATTTCGCAGCAGCCATTACAACATTGGAATTCCATTCCTCGCTCGAGCGCACTAGTCTGACCATCATTGAAAAGGAATTCATCAAAACGTGCATGGGTAATCTCTGTTTTCCCGCCCTCTTTAAAGACGCGCATATCGAGGGCACGCCTCGCCATCTCTCATCGAACCGCTGCAGCGCTAAGAGAAGCATTTGCCAGGGCAGGAGTGTATTTGAAGATGGACATTCCACATGTTCCCCAAGAGCTGATGCATATCGCTATACAGATGGGGATAGCCTGGTCGTGCATCGCCTAATACTATTATACTACCGACCGAATAGACCGAGGGACAAATCTGATTGGTGCCCGCCGGAGAAACCCCCAGCAACGATCAGCTGATCCGGGGCAAAGAGCGCGGGGCATCGGGCGAATCCCACCGGCCTATTAATTCCCCCAATTCGCCCGCGCCCTCGCGTCTTCGGGCTCGATTCTTCTGACAGCAGCACGATGGACTCGGAACAGACCCCGGCGCAGCTGGACGAGAGACCTGCCTGTGGAGCCTGTCGGAAGCGGAAATTGCGCTGCTCGCGTGAGCTGCCTCAGTGCGTTCACTGTCGAAGAATTGGTGAGTCTGATCGTTCGCTTATGCGCCAGATGCACTAATATTATATTCCAGGCACGCATTGTTCATATGATGTGGATCGCGAGAAGCCCGGGCTGAAAGCCGGCGCTGTGGAGGCGTTGCGGAGGCGAGTCGGTGGGTACCGGAGCTGACCATCGCAATCTGACCAGGGACAATTTTGACATACTGATACGAGATGTAGAAGCTCTAGAAGATGCAGTGTTTCAAGGAGAAGATGGTGTCCGCGATGTTTCTCGTTTCCCGACCCAGGACCCCACGCGTGTCGCCTCGGCGCTTTGCGAGGGCCTTGAACAGCTTCTCGGCCAGCTGCGACCGAACAATAAACGCAGACGGCAACTGTCCAACGCGTCAGACGTGTCAGTCGCTCAGGATGTGCCACGAAACCATGTACCATCTACTGAATCGCGCCCTCACTCGCCAAGCCCGAACAAGCGCAGACGCGTCAATGACAGGCCACTGATCGAACCAGACGACTTTGCCGAACTTTCAGCTACATTGCCGACCTCGGATATTTTGAACGCCATCGTTGATTTGTACTTCTCCCTGATGCAGCCGTGGATTCCGACATTCCACGAGAAGAGGTTCCGGCGACGCATGAGGGACCCGAACGAGAGAGCGCGATTGGAAATCGTCTTGCACGCCATGGTCTTCGCATTACTTAGACACGTGGACTCTGAGTTGACAGCTGGTCAGGGGGACATCGAAGCCATCTGCGAGCGATCGCGCAAAATCGTCGTCCTGACGGCAATGAATGATTTGCATGTGGAAAACCTGCAAGCGCTGACGATTATCTGCTTTGAAGACGTGAGTTTGAACAATTGGGCGATGGGAGTGTTCTAACTGGTATACAGATTGGCTCAGGCAGGCTTTCTCGTGCATGGCCTATCGTGGGTTCTCTCACCAGGACGGTAGAATATCTGCAGTTGAGCGTGGAATCTGAACATCACGACAACGGCCCTCTACTCCAGCCACGACCTTGTCTTCCACGGGCGGAAGACTGGATAGAGGAAGAGGAGCGGAGGCGGGTGTTCTGGACGATATTCAATCTGGATAGGCAAGTTCCTCCGAAAGCCCAACAGTTTACGGAAGCGATACTAACCGACTGAACCAGATTCTGCTCGGTAACTACGGGGTACCTTGCACTCCAAATCTTTTAGATGAACTCTGCGCTAACAGAACGCTGCAGCTGGAACACCAGTCTGACCTCGAACGACGTTCATCGACGACTACCGGCCGATGGTGGCCTGTGGCACAACCAGGAAATCGTCACAACGCCATTCTTCGGCATCTGGGATAAATCCGCCGGCAAGATCGGGAACCTGATTGCATTCCAACCCACGGACTACAACACAGTCGAGTCTCCCCGGAGTCGCTTCCCCATTAGCCAGGGTCACCCCCATCTGCCGGCGCCGGAAGAGAGAGTCGATATGATTACAATCGGGGCGTTTGCCTATCGGGTTGAAGCGACCGAGTCGCTTAGCAGAGTTACGACGTTTTTCTTGCAGCAGAGGATAAATTATCGTGACCGCCAGGAGATGGGTAGTTGGCTGATGCGGTTCAAGGAGCTGGATCTGCGTCTAGTCAGGTATGTTATCGATCGACCGACCGCAAAATAGGCGGATTCTTACAGTCGTAGCTGGAAGATGTTTCTCCCCCAACGGTGGAAAGACTCAAACATCTCTCGACAACCGACCGTCGTCAACATGGACCCGAACCTGACGCTGGCGCACATCACACATAACACGTCTATGATTCTTCTTCACCAACGGATCGCATACCCGCCTCCAGAATGGTTGGAAGTAGTCAAGCTCCCCATTTTGTCGAGCGCCGAGACCTGCGAAGCAGCCGCGGCAGAAACAGCGAACATCACGCAGAAGTACATGGACAACTCGCCGGCAGAGAGTATTGTCGATAGCCAGTTTGCGTTTTGTGTATTCGTCAGCGCACGGGTACTGCTAGGTTCGTGGCTTTTTGTTACTATTCTTCTGTCCATGGCTCTAGCTGATGGGATGCCCTTCAACAGTCCACTGGCGCTACTACAACACCGACCTCTCCTCCGACTTCTGGGCGTTGACGGGGTTCCTGGATACCATGTCCGCCCGATGGTCCAGCCACACTCGAGCCAGGAGTGGGAATCTGGCGGCCAAGTATTGCGACCAGCTGCGGGGGCTGTACCACAAGTGTCAGAACAATGAATCCTTCAAGCTGGATGTTCTGGGGTACTCGAATGAGATCAAGTGGAATGGGAGGAATTCAGAGACGGATCAGGATGGGCTGCAGCATGATAACCAGGGGTATGATGCTGCCCTGGAGCCTGGCCCTGAAGTTGCCTCAAGCCTGCAACCTCCAGCATTCGCCGCAGCCCAGCAACCTACTGGTGGTATTCTTGGTCTCGAGCATGCTCCATCGCAGCCAGCGATAATGACCACCGGGTCTGGGTCCGCGGGCTACAACACAGGCAGCCCAGACGAGTTGACAGCAGTCACATCAATTCTGCTCGACCAGCAGTATTCGGATATGGAGCGCATTATTAGTCTGAGCAACGCGAACTTCGCAGCGTATGTACCCTACATGGAGTGACTGAGTAATTCAAGTATCCTGATTTCCCCGCATCTCCATTTCACACGATGTGGAGGCGCGGGGTGATGTGCCCCGAGACTTCGCCCGACACCTTGTGTGGGATCACCCGACGCGCGTATATCTATCGCTCATTGTAGACATAGTGCCTTCGAGCACTGTAAACACGATAACCAAGATGCCACCCCTCCCCAACTTCTCAAACAACCCTCTCCGCACTCGGGATGACTTGATTCTCGCTGCCTCGGCAATCGTGCAGCCCCTCCACCAACTCTTCTCCCCGGACAAGGCCTTCATCCGCCTCCCCAGCTCAACAGGCGCCCACTTCGACGAGCGCGCCGCTCAACTCGAAGGCTTCGCCCGCCCACTATGGGTCATAAGCGCGCTCCTTCACTCCGCTCAATTGGACCCTAAACACGCGGCCGCCATCCGCTCTCTAGCCCAGCCATGGATCGACGGTATCGCCACGGGCACAGACCCGAATCATCCAGAATACTGGGGCACGATCGCAAATGGCGACCAACGCATGGTTGAAGCCGAGGTGATCGCATGCGCCCTCCTCTTCGCACCGGATGATTTCTTCCATGCACAGGATCCCCGCGTACAGCGCAATATCGTCACCTGGCTCCGTGGGATGAACGGCAAGGACATGCCCGGCAACAACTGGCGATGGTTCCGCGTCTTCACGAACCTCGCTCTTGTCCTCGTCGCGGGGATCCCATACGACGAAGTGAAGCCGGAAATGGACGGGGACTTTGTCATTCTCGACTCGTTCTATCTTGAGTCTGGATGGTCGGGCGATGGATTGTGGTTGACGCCTGAGGCCGAGGCGGAGGAGGAGCGCGAGTGCCTCCGGACTAGACGCAGGGACCGGATTGGATGTGGCCGGCAGGTCGACTATTACTCTGGGAGTTTCGCAATCCAGTTTAGCCAGCTCCTATATGTGAAGTTCGCGGCGGGACTGGATCCCGAGCGGGCGGAGCGGTACCGCGGGCAGGCGAGGGAGTTTGGGGAGGCTTTCTGGAGGTATTTTGACAGCGAGGGTGAGTGAGCTTCTACGAGATCTCTAGGAAGCTCTCTAATAGATGAGGATAGGTCGGGCAATCCCTTTCGGCCGGTCCCTTACGTACCGCTTCGCCTGCGGCGCGTATTTCGCTGCGCTGGCCGTCGCCGGTGTCTCGGATATGCCAGAGCCACTGGCTTCAG